GCATAGCAGGAAACTGGCTTTGGGGACCACCCGAATTTGTTGCAGCTACAGTTGTTGATCTCCCTTGTGATGATAAATTAGACGGTGCAGATTCTTGCTGAGGCCCAGTACAAACCCCCCTAGCAAAAAATTGTCTCAGTGGGCTTTCTGCATTGCCCGTAATACCTAATGAAGGAAAGGTATCAGATGCTCCAAGTCTCAAACCAACCCTCGATCTTGAGTTCTGCTGTTCTGAAGGACTAGCGCTAGGGGAATTACGCAAGGGTGTAGATAAACTTAAATTACTAGAAGGATTATAACGAGCAGGACCAGTATTCCAAGCACCATTTTCAGCTGGTGGAAAGGAGCTAGAACTCCCACCAGGATAAGCCTGGCCAGAAGTACCCTCAAGGGCCTTTCGCTTGCAGGATGAACCCCAATTTCCGAAAGAAGAGCCTGGATTACCATCACTTTCCCCAACCACATAATCAGAGCTTCCTGATGAAGTCCCAACAATATCAGGTGAACCACTTCCAGAAGATGTCTGTTCTGTTTCTAATCCACTTGACTTGTAGAGATTAGGTTCTGCATTAGCTTCCATACCATGCTCACAATTACCGCTACTTCCCACATATCCAGCATTTAGATCTGCATTTTGAGGGATATAATTAGAGCTAGAACCCTGAGAAAAAGAAGGCCCACCTTGAATCTGATTGCCACTGATAGCTCGCCCAGGGAAAAGGATATTATTTTGTTCAACTCGTCTTTCTTCTGAATTTTGACCAATCAAAGGACAAGCACTACATGAAGATGACCAACCTTGTTCCATTTTCATCCCATCATCATCAACTGGGTTTTCCAGATTCAATCTAGAGCTAGGTCCACCTGAACCAGTCAAGGTCTGGGAGTCATGACTAGTGGCATTTAAACATGTCATCTCACCAGACGTCACCATAAAACTTGACAACCGGGTTTCTACAGGATTTAGCATATTATTCAGAGAAGTCTGCTGACTCATACCAGTGCTGTTGGAAATGGATCCCAGCCCAACTTCTGTTATTTCTGGGAAAGTATCAATACTACTCCCTTGACCTTGCATTAGGCTCACCAAATAAACCTTGTAAAGTGCAGATGACACTATATTTACAGGTGGTTTGGATTAAACACTTCTTCGGAAGATCTGGAATATGTGCACAGCAGTATAAAGGATAAATCTCAACTCAATACTGGTACCTTGAAAGTAACAGGTACACAATTGCAAAAAAAAAATTCCAAATTCAAATAAAAATAATAAAGGGACAAAACAGGAGTTAGAAGAGAGGGGGGAGGGGGCGGTGATAGAGAGAGAGAGAGAGAGAAGATAAAATCTGAACGTGAATTCTTGCAACATTGGATATCTACTTACTAACGGAGATTGGATGATAAAGAATAAATTTCTTGCATTATGTACATGTCTTCAACTGAAAACCCTGACCCTGAAAATTGATTCAAAGAAAAAACATATGAAGGCAAAAATTAGAGAGTGCATGAAACATTAATACTAAAATAAGTAACAGGCACATTTGACAGGCTGACGACTAGCAGATCAGTTAAAGCTGAATTGGCCTCAAATAAACTAACAAAAGGTAAAACTACATAATTAAACAGTCAGAGGAGTTTAACAAAGGAGGGGAAGAAAAAAAAAGTGATGTAGGACAAATTGAGAATAGATAGAACTAAGAGAACAAAGAACTGATTCTCAATCAATAAATCTCAATCAATTTCAATTATATGAGAGAGTTAGATCACCCCCTCTTACAAAATAGCCTCTTTACATAGGCAACCCCATAAGAATAAATGCCTAAACGATCCTAATATAACTAGGCCCTAAATAATTATAAGTAAAACCAATTAACCTGTACAATTCTCTCCTTGTTAGAGAGAAGTTGGACTCAAACTTATTCAGACAGATTTAGTTAGTGGAAAGAACCGATCAAGATAGGTCAGAACCTGGCTGAACTCAAGAAAACTAAGTCACACTCAAATTTAATTTGGTCATACTCTGGTGAAGCTGGTCACTCAATTACAACTTGGGGGGGAATCCCGCAAGATGAATTAACCCCCTAAATGTGATAAACAAAAACTAAATAAAATGAACTTAATTTCTAAACACTACTGCTTATACCTAAAGAAAACACAAATTTACTTCCATTATCATTAAAGTCACTTAGATAATTTTGATCTAAGATTACCAGGAGAGTTTCATAACACTGAGCACCCCTTTCACACTCTCAATTTCGTTCCTACATTCAAATTCCATCTCAATTCAACTCTTCTGAGCAATATCTATTGTAGACATATATGTCAAATTATGTAATGACTATTATTAACTTCTGTCTTGGCTATGTTGCAGTGAAAATTTTCTGTAGAAGTTACTTACTGGAAACAGTGCAGCCTATGAATCTAAGTGGTGCACACAACCTAAAGAACAATGGTCACTGCTACAAACGGCCATTGATTTGTCAGTGATTCTAGGGGGATTGCAAATACCCAACAGAATGTCGTAACAACTTTAGAAAGAAAAAAAAAACCAAAACAAAATGAGAGGCAATTTGCTAGCCCAAATGAGATGCAGAATTATAAAGCTAAGATTATAAAGGGCTAAGCTTTAGCAACTAAAGATGTACCGAGGAAAATCACCACAGGAACAAGAATGCAACATCAAGTGCTATTATAGCCCTCAATCAAATGTTGATAGTCTAACCTTTTCAAAAGATAAAAGAACAGAGAAAAACTACAAAATGATAAATCGAGCAACAATGCAAGCAGGACTAAACATCTGCAATAGTAATGCTTCCCATGCACAACCTACAACCCATGATATGGGTAGGAGAGTAAATGATAAGCTCATAAAACGCAACAAAAGAAAAATGAAAATGCGAAACTTGGGAAAAATCACCCAAGCCAATTCCTTGAACTGGGCTTAATTCTGAAAATACCCAACTGAGGATCTTTGCAATGTTTACCAAAAACCAACCAAATTCATTTCTTTTTAAATGATTCGATAGCAAAATGACCCAACCCAGGAAAAGAAACTAAAAAGAAACCAAACCCAGAAAGAACAACCGCCTAGGGAGAAAAAAACATATAGTATTAAAGAAAAGAAAGCAGGGTCCTTTGGGTCGGCTCCGATCGCTCTAATTCTTATCAAATTGGCATGAAATGAAAACCACAAAAAAGAGGGAATAAAACTGAAAATGGAAGATGACAATACAAGAAATGATAGTCAAAACCCAGAGAGAAGTACCAGAGAAGACATTGAGAAGGAGGATGAGATCACAGATGAAACGGCAGGGATCAAATGGTGAGAAAACGCTTCCCACTCGGTCTCTCTCTTTCTGTCTCTGAGTCTGATTTTTCTTCTTCCTTCAGTTACTACTTCTCATCTTTATGTATAATATAATAATAATTTACTGCTGCGAAAGAGATAACCCGCAATACGACAAAGCCCAACTGAGCAATGGATGAGAGAGAGAAATGAGAGAGAGAGAGAGAGAGAGAGAGAGAGAGAGAAGCTGATGAGAACATAAACACGAGAGATAGAGAGAGAGAGAGAGTAATGTTAATGTAAATGTTGAATGTTGATGATGGTTTGAGATTTTTGCTGAGGTGGGTGGGTCATGGGTGGGGCTGGGTTTGGGTCCGAGTACTCACAGCCAATTCGATGTCCACATAGCTTGCATGCACTCGTTGTGGGTCCTACATCAGCTAATAATATTATTAATATATAATTATAAATTGTTTAATTTAATTTAATATTGTAATTTTTTGTGTGCACTGCAGGAGGTGGCGTGCTCCTTTGTGGCAGGGGTGTGGTGAGCTGAGCTCCCCTCTCGTTATACGGTCAGTCGTCTCCACCTCCTGTCACGCTTTAATTTAGAGTGACAGTGCTGCAAGATTTGATCCCTTTTCTGCTCTCTGCTTCTTTCGGATTTTTTTTTTTTCCTTGTTTGCTTGCAATGCTATTGGGTTGTATTGGGCTTATTAAAGAGCTGGTGACCCAGGATTTCCGGTGGGCTTCAACCTCACCCAAACTTGTTAGCAGGCCCATTTTACCTAAACTTTCAATTGTTTCCAATCGCAAAAATCGGGTATAGCCGCGCGGCTAGACTATTTTAAAAAAAAAATTGAAACAACCCGAGTATCACCTCGTGATCACCTAATCACTAGGTAAAAGGACCTTAGTTGCATTAGTTTATACTTTATACATATTAATTTGCTAGTTTCAACATATTTAAAGTAGATATTGAAGAGAGAGAGATCTCAAAGCAAATCAATATAAGAGTTCAATTTTATTTTTTTTAGTGTGAAAATTTTACAATAAATCAATAGAGACTCGGTAATAGCTTAATAATAATGAATAATGTTCTAAGCCACTCTTAACGATAAACGAAAATAATAAAAAAATTTAAAAGAAAAAAAAAATCCCAGTATACTATTTTGTATTTCTTCTCTCACGTGCCCCAAAAGAAGCTTCCAAGAGGCCAGGTGGTGTGGCTTTTGTATTTCGTCTCCCAGAGATTCAATCCCACGATTCCCAAGAACATCAAAATCAAAAGCCCATGAGCAAATGGAATCGTCCACACTTCTAGCTTTACTCTCCTCCATCTCCCAACTCATCCTCCTCCTCCTCCTCCTTTCTCCCAATTCCACCAATTCCTCCAGTTCCTGCGCAAATGTTTTCCCAATCGCCCACAGCTTCCTCTCTTCCCACGAAATGGCCGCCACCCTTTCCCTCCTCACCCTTTCCAGGAAACGAAAGCGAACCCATTTCTCAGAACGAGATTCTGAGCCCACTGACCATGACAAGGACCAAGAACTCGGTGGCGGCGACTCGGTCCAACTGGGTTTGACTCGGAGTCCCGACTCGTTCAGAAACTCCTTCAGAATGACCTACTCTACCTTCGAATGGCTCTGTGGTTTACTCGAGCCGCTGCTCGAGTGTCGTGACCCAGTTGGGTTGCCGCTCAATCTCTCTGCCGAGCTTCGTCTCGGTATCGGCCTGTTTCGGCTGTCCACCGGTTCCAGCTACCCCGAAATCTCGAAGCAATTCGGGGTTTCGGAGCCCGTGGCAAGGTTCTGTGCCAAGCAATTGTGCCGAGTTCTTTGCACCAATTACCGTTTCTGGATTGAATTTCCCAACCCAAATGAGCTTGCCTCTGTATCGGCGGCTTTCGGAAGCCAAACTGGGTTGCCCAATTGCTGTGGTGTGATTGATTGTACAAGGTTTAAGACTGTTAAAAATGGCGGCTTTCACGAGGAGAGCATTGCTGCCCAAATCATGGTCGATTCTTCGTCGCGAATTCTCAGCATTGTTGCCGGGTTTCGTGGCAACAAGGGTGATTCAAGAGTATTAAAGTCGTCAACTTTGTACAAGGATATTGAAGCAGGGAGGTTATTGAATTCTCCTCCAGTTAATGTAGATGGGGTGGCTGTAAATCAGTACTTAATTGGAGATGAAGGGTACCCTTTGCTTCCTTGGCTTATGGTCCCTTTTGTTGATGCTGCGAAGGGCTCAAGTGAAGAGCATTTCAATGCAGCACACAATCTGATGCGCCTTTCGGCGCTTAGGACCATTGTTAGTTTGAAGAGTTGGGGTATTTTGAGCCAGCCAATACAAGAGGAGTTCAAGATGGCAGTTGCTTATATTGGAGCTTGTTCTATACTGCATAATGGTTTGCTAAGGAGGGAGGACTTTTCTGCTATGTGTGATGTGGATGATTACTCTTTGTATGATCAGAGCTCTCAGTATTATAGGGATACTAGTTTGGAGGAGAATTCAATTGAGAGGAAGGCTTCGGTAATACGAACTGCATTGGCTGCAAAAGCAAAAGAGTTTCAAAACGCACAAGTTTGAAGCAACATTAGTTCTTTGGTCCAATTGCAATCCACCTAGGATATTGGTTCAGTAGAGGGAGCAACCTAGAACAATTTTGTTTTAACAGGTAATCTCAGATTCTTTCTTGTTCAGGATTAAATACTGTTGATGCAATTTACTCTGGTGTTTCTTTTCTATTCTTTATTTATTTTGGAGTAGAAATTGCTTTTGCAATAATTTTTTGCCAATTTATTTTTGAAGATGTACTCATGTTCAGCATCTTCTACAATAATCAAAGTGCAAAGATTTCCTGTTGTGAATGTGGATGCTATTAATTGCGCATTGTTATCCATTTCTTGATATAGGCTTAATCTTTCTGTTATTAAAAATTAAAATAGTTTCTCTGTGATCTATTAGAATCCCATCACAGGAAGCCTTAAGTTCAAGAAAAATTCTTCAATCTTTATTGAAAGCAATAACAAGAATCAGAAAGGGTTTGAATACAAGGTTGTTAGCACAGAAACTAATCAAGTAACAATCTGACTTCCCTTAACTAATCCTGCCCACACCGAAAACACCATATCTGAAACTACACATTATAGCATCTGACAGTAAGCCAATGTAGTTGACTATTCTGCATTATAATTGACCATTCATTTAAGAAATTTAGTTGGCTCCTCATCAAATTAGTCAACTGTTCTTCAGTTTGATCTTCAACATCCTTCTCACCTCTTCCTTATATAGCTTAGCATTTGCACAACAAACTAGCCACAACTGTTGCACAGCTCAGTATCAATAGAAGCAGCAGCTTCATCTTGCCAAATCTTCAGGATAGCTATTTTCTTCAGCTAATTGGTAGCTGGGGTATGGCAAGTTACCTGCCGTTCCACACAATCCCTGTCCTCTAGGTGGTAATCAAAAACCAACCTTCCTAAGTTGCATTTTTTGGAATTAATTAAGACCACTGAAGTAGTAGTGCTTGGGTTACTGCTTAACTAGTATGCAAGCTAGTGCAGCAACTGCCTCAACAACAATCTGACCTTTCGTAGTTTAGGTAATGGTTTACATATCTCCCAATGTGCTTCTTAAGCTGGGATACATGGACCACGGGATGAATTTTTGAATCATGATGTAAAATTTATAAACCACTGAACCAACCTTGGCTTCCACTGGAAAGGGCCCAAAATACTTAGCAGCTATCTTCAATTTTTTTCTAATGTTAATAAAAGTCTGTCGATATGGTTGGATTGATAGATAGACTAGATCTCCCACTTCAGATGATCTTACACTTTGAGTTTTGTCTGCAAATTGTCTCATTATGTTCTCGGCTTGAGCAAATTCTCGCTGCAGCAACTTGTGCTTGTCTTTCTAGTTTCTATAGGGTGGTGACATGAGGACAATATCAATATCTTTTTACTCACTTTGAGGTCTTTCTCTGTCATGCGTCTTAGATATGTTTCAAAACAGCTTGTAACTCTTTTAGTATGTCGATCAGTTTGTGGATGATAGGCAGTGCTCATATGCAGGCTCAGTTCCGAATAATAGATAGTGATAAGTTATTAAATCTTCCCATTTGTTTGATAGCTTTAGAAGACTTTGTCAAGTCACAAATAGATGGTCTTCCATGCTCAATATTATGAGCTAGAAATAGATGCGTCAAATATTGTAGAAGGATGACTTAGAGCCAAAAAGTGGCTATATTTAGTAAACCTGGCTGCTACCACCAAGTTAAATCCTTTCCTTCTGACTTGAGCAATCCTTTCATTAAAATCCATGGACATGTAACTTCAAGCTTAATTGTGAAAATATTGAAGTTATACTGCAGGTAATGAACTATCTAGACCATCCTTGTGGCTTGTAATTACTCTTTTAAGCCAGTTTGGAACCCCTTCTCTCTACTCCCTTCTTATGTTATGTTTCGTAATGCATACCGAGAAGCTTGGTTAACCATTTCTGCTGCAACAAGGTAAACCCTTTGCTCCGAGAAAGTATTTAAGGCTTCGATGATCAGTTAAGTTGTAATGACGTATTGGCTTCGATAATGGCTGACAGCCCCGTATTCCTAGACCGTAGTGGTTTACTAACAAAGGAATTGGCCTTGCCTCCTTACATAACTGCTCCAAGACCTTGGTTGCACAGATCATGGCCTTTTTCAATAGTTGAAAGGCAAGGCTGTAGAATTCAGAACTGACAGCACATTTAGATTACGACCTCATACTAGAAAGAAAAACAAACGGTTATTACGTACTGCATATACTATATTATTATGCAAAAAGAGAGATGTCCTGAAATTTTAATGAAAAGCCAGCCAGCGGGGTTGGTGAATCTTAGAGCATCTCCAACCGATGTGTCAAAAGTGTCACATAGACATTTAACGACTAGAAATAACATCTTACATCATTCCAACCAATGTGTCAAAGCCGATGTGGAATGAAGGCTGGACGTTGAGATGTTATTTTTGACATCCCAAAAGAAAGATGACAAATGAATATTTTATTATTATTTCTTTTCTTTTCTTTTTAATTAAAAGTAAATTAACACTAAAATGTAATAAAACAATAATTTAATTTGACATATCAGGTGGAGTGTAAAGCTGTGTAAGATGTCAAATTGCCACATCATCCATCAAATTTAAATTTGATGTTTGGTATTTAACATCTCTCTTAGAGATGCTCATACTAGTCTCATTATGGGGATCAAGCTTCATAAGATAAGGGCAAAATGGCGTTCTCTGTCCTCCAAGTGTTTGATAAGCAAAGGAACACCCTACCTCACCTACCAACTGAACTTTTCATTATATTTACATAATAAAAGTGTTAACAATATCAACAATGATGCTCTCTATTTCTTAACTAAAATTTAGCTAAAAATATAAGAAAGCTATTTTAGGAGCTCTCTAAAATATTTCAACTCCAACCATACTCCTTAATTTGAAGAGTCATAAATGCTATAATTCTTTTTTGATTGGTCCATCTCTATTAAAAAATAAAATAAAAAATAGTTAGCATTAAATAGCGGTTTGAAATACTTATTAAATAAAGCAACATTAAATGATAGGGAGTCATTAGGAGTTTTTTTTCTTTCCTTAGATTTAGAAGCTCCTAGAGGACTCCTTATTTTAGGAGGTGGATAGGGAGCATGGTTGGAGTTGCATTTTTACGATTCCTCCCTAAAATTTGTCTAAGGAAGTGGTTTAGGGATCCAATTGTAGATTCTTTAAGGATAGATGAGGATTATTAAAGTACATTTATAGGATAAATGCTAAGAACAGTTGTTTATGAGGAAAAAAAAATACAAAAAAATTCTAAAGGCCATCGTTTAATAGGAGAAATTCCAAGGGCATGCATCTATGAGGAGAAATACTAAGGTAGTTGTTTACGTGTGGGTGGGCGACTAATCCAAACACAGCTACTTCGTAATAGTAGATTTTGTTGTTAAAAGAAAGGAAAAAAAGAAGAGGATTTTAATAATAAGATCCAAACAACAACTCATTTTAGCAAAAAGGAGGCTTAACTTAAGAGAGAGAGAGAGAGAGAGAGAGAGAGAGGAGGTGGTCTACCTACCGCAACGCCTAAAATGCCAAGTTCATCGCACTCTTACCAACTTATTTTCCACTTAAAAAGAGGAAGTGGATCCCACCTAGCCATGTGATTACATTAACTTTAATGAAATTAGCATTATCAAATTCATTAGCTAGCAAAGCTAAGTATAATTATAACCCAAAACTATAAGTTACAACAGTGTCAACCCAGCAAAAATAATACAAAGTAGTGTTATCCACACAGGGACAACACTCCATGCAAATTGAATGTATTTACTATAAAAATCCAAACAAATTTCATATATGCACTTATTTCGAATATAATTTCTTCTTAATAATATATCATTGTGATAATTAAATTTCTTTCGTAATTAAAATTTGAGAGAAATCTATCCTCAAATAATAAGTTTCGGTTTAATAGGAGTACTTTTTTCAATGTTGAAAAAGATTGTAACTTGGAATTCACGCTTTTCTTATTATTTCCATAAATTAGAAAGTTTTAGCTGAAATTCCATCAACATCTAAGTAAACTCCCTTGAAGGAAAGAGAATGATGACGTGATAAATACACAAAATGGTGTCACCAAGAAACCAACCACAACTTTGACCAAACAAAAAAAAGAGCCAACCAGAACGCCACAAGTCTACAACCAATCATACCATTACCACATGAGGAGATATTATAGAATGGTATCATATCACCACGCCAGCTGGTGAGAATCTTACTCATATTTTGCCATGTAAAAAAAATAAAAAAATAAACTCTTTATCCAATTGGATTTAAAAGTTTATCTTTACCTTTTCAAAAAAAATTTAAAAAAAAAAAGCAGCCCCAACCCTTCCTTGCGGACAAGTTCCCCCACTCCCACGAGAAATTATAGAATGGTATTGTATCACCATGTCAACTGATGATACACCTCTATTCAAATTTTGTCATGAGTGGGTCACACCTCCAAATTACGAGTCTGATTCGTTTGAAGTCACAGAACCCTCTCATCACAGTTTCACCAACCCCGGACCGGATTTGGTGGTCGGTTCAACCAACCATCTGGTTCGAACCGGATACTTCATTCCATATATACCTTGTTCTTTCCTCTTTCTAAATTCAGGTTCATCTGCCTGTATCCATTTAATCATTTTAAGCCAAGAAAACTGCAGAAATCCAAAGCCCGCAAAGCAACAGAAAAACAAAGCTAGCAATGGCAACCAATGGAGAAAACCAGCAAAACCAGGCAGGGAGGCACCAAGAGGTTGGCCACAAGAGCCTCCTTCAAAGTGATGCACTTTACCAGGTAACCAAGCACATATATACAATCAAAGCCATGAATTTTCAAAATCTCCAACAACACAAAAAAAGATTTTAGAAAATTGGATGGTGATTAAGCTTAAAGCTCATGTTTTTCTTTTTGGGTTTTCGATTTTATTTTGTGTAGTATATATTGGAGACAAGTGTGTACCCAAGAGAGCCTGAATCCATGAAGGAGCTCAGAGAAGTGACTGCAAAGCACCCATGGTTTGTTCTGATTTCATCACCCAGATTGAAATTCATCAATTTTGGAAATAACCCTTTTGTTAATTTCTTATTTGAGATTGGTTGGTTGGCTGATGTTGGATTTGAAATAAATATAGGAACATCATGACCACATCAGCTGATGAAGGCCAGTTCTTGAACATGCTTCTCAAGCTCATCAATGCCAAGAACACCATGGAGATTGGGGTCTTCACTGGCTACTCCCTCCTTGCCACAGCCCTTGCCATTCCTGATGATGGAA